GCCCCAACCCTACTCCCATGCATGCACATGCACATCAGCTCACATCAGGACCCCCCTCGCCCCAGCCTGCTGTTCCTGGGAGCTACTTCCAGGCCCTTCCCCCACTGCTCCCCAACATCTTCCTTCCCACAACTTCTCTGCATATCCAGATTACCTGGGGTTCCTGTCCTCTCCTGCAGATGCTAACCCTGCCCCCCGCCCCCTCTCCCATGCCACCCTACCATCCTTGGAGACCCCAAAGCCAGCAGCTGGTCCCTCCATGCCTGGTTTTGACCTCTCTCTCACTCCTAAGGATCTGCCCTGGCTCACTGGTGTGGCCTCCTGGTTGCTAAATGCTGAATAATAGTTGCACCAGTCAGTCCCACCCAGGGCAGGGAAGAGGGCTGAGCTCTGTTCTCAGGACCTGCAGCTCTGCACGCCCCAAGGCCCAGCCCCATCACATCTGGCCCTGCAAGGGGGGAGGGGGGCAGGAGCAGCAGATATTTCCTGCTGGCACTCCTAAGCCTTCTGCTCCTCACCCACTCTCCCTGTGGCTGCCAGCAAGGTCATCCTGCTCCTGGCCTGGGCTCCTGGGGCTGCAGGGCACTGAACCGAGGGTCAATTTCACAGCCAGATCTGTGAGCCCTGATGGGCAGTTTAGAACACTGCGCACTCACGCAGACCAACAGCTCTTCCTGCATCAGGGAAGATGGGGCAGCATCTGCTGTGGCTCCCCGTGTCAAATCGCAGCCAGACAGGGCCATCATTTAGCTTGTAACAGCCTCATCATCCAAAGATCACACCAATAATTTCTCAAAACCAACCAATGATTTGTAGCTTATTAGGATAATTCACTGTATCATTTGCACTTGGACTTTTAACTGGCTAGGCCATTTCTTAATACATACTTGATGTATACAGAAAATAAAAGGGAATGTTTTAGTTCTCCTTATTATTAATTTGTATGACCTTTCCAGGAGCCCAGTACATTGAATACATCCCTTTCTCTGCCTGGGCCACCCATATTTCTGGCCTTATCCTAAATCTTGAAATTACTGATACCCACATGCACACACACGCACCCCAGCAACTCATGATTTGCACCCCACTCCTTGACACCCTGGCCTAATCCTCCCAGCTGTCCCAAGTCCAGTCCCTGACCCTCAGCCTAAGGCTGCCCATGCACTGTCCACACACACACACACACACACACACACACACACACACAAACACGTACACATGCAGGCACGCACACAGAGTGCCTCACTAACCCTCAGGCCCTGTCTCCCCATTACCCAGCAGCTTAGAGGCCTTGCTCCATCTTCACACTCACCCCAAAGCTCCCTCCTGGCTAAAGGAAAGTCCTCAACCATTCCCATGCTGCACCTGTACCATGCTAGAGAGAACCTAGAATCCTGGAGGGGCCCTGGAGCCCCCAGTACACACAAAGTATGTACAGTTGGACTTATCTCCACTCCGGGCTCCTGGGGAACATTTTACCCCCTTCATCTTTCCTCAAGCCTCCAACCCTTCCACCCCTCCTCTGAGGAGCCTGCTTCCCCTTTCATGAGACAAACAGCAGCACCAAGAAGGGATGTATCACAGGCTGTCCCCACCATGTAAACACACAGCATTTAACAACCAAGGGGTGACACCAGTGTGCCAGGGCAGATCCTCAGGAGTGAGAGGTTGTTGTGCACCCGCCCTGTGCTTGTGTCCTGGACCTTGGCACCTCTCACCTGGCTGCCTTCTGTCTGGGGCCTGCCCCTTCTTCCCTCTCCATCAGAACATTCCCATGGACGTCATCTCCCCTGACCCATGACACCAAATGGGGTGGACACTCCCTAACAAGGGGTGCTGGGAGGTCAAGAGAAGGAGGCAATAAAGGATGTGGGGGACTCAGGCAGCAAGAGAAGTATGTGCCAAGATCCTGTGTCAGGAAAGAGCAGGACATGAGAGAAGACCAAGAAGACTGGGGAAAGAGAAAATAGGTGGGGGTGAGACCCGGGAAAGGGCGGGGGGAGCTGTGCCCTGAGAGCTCTGGGCAGCCAGTGTATTTAAGCTGGTGGCTGCATGATCAGATCTGCATTTTTCAAAGGATCTTTGAGATTATAGGGAGCTGAAAGAGTGGGTGTGAAGCGTCAGTGGGGAGGCTGCTTGGGTGGAGGTGCTACCCAGGCCAAGGCAGGGACAAGAACAGGAAGACAGGTGGTCTGGATGGCCAGGTTCAGGCTTGCAGGGGGAGCCGGAGGGGCGCTTGCTGAGCCAGGCCTGGGGGAGTGACTGTGAGTCCAGGGTGCTCAATACAGGGCTCTGCGGATGAATTTTGCTTTGTGCAGGGAGCCGTGGGTCCCAGCGTGGATGAGGCCCAGGCTCGGGCCCCAGAGCAGCCAGGCAGCCCTCAGGGGTAGGCGTGGGCTTCGGGATGCAGCTGCTGCCCTAGCGTGAGAGCCGGGAGTAGCCCCACCTGCCAGCCCTCGACTCCAGGGGAAGCCCTGCCCCCAATTTGCTAGGCACCTCGGGGCACCCTGGTAGGAAGGACTCCCTTAAGAGTGCCTCTGGGGCCCATTTCTTATAAAGACGCTTGGCTCTGAGTTGATTGAATTGAAGGAAAATGAAAGTGCTTTGCTAAGTGCTTTTCAAACACTCTGATTTATCATTTTAACAACAGGAAGAATTTATCTACTTAGCAATTTCTGGATAGAGACTTGAGAGGAAAACGTATGCTTGGATAGGAGCAACAGTGTATGGGGTCAGACTAGGCCTCCGGTTTCCACTCCCAGGGGCATATATATATATATATATGAATGAAAGAAAGACCAAACCACTCCGCCATCTGTTCACAGGTGCTTTCAGACTCCGCAAGCTTCAGTGAGGTGACCTGAAGTTCCAGAGCATGCTGGGAAACTGACCCGAGGTTCCAGTGCATGCTGGGAAATTGTTTAAGTCGGGAAAGTTGGTGAATGTGGTGCAGGGACAGTTTTTGTGTGAATGAGATCAGGGCTCCTCTGTCCAATGGGCACCCCACAACAGGAAATACATAATGTGCTTATTATATTCATTTAGAATACACGCACATAGCTGTCTGGTGAATACAAGGGACAGGTTAGCTATCTCTTATTCAAAATATGGGGCTGGGGAGATGGCTCAGTGGAATAAGCGCTTCCCTGGCAAGCACAAGGGCCTGAGTTCAATCCCCAGTTCTGTAAAAAAAAAAAAAAAAAAAAAAACTTGGCTATTCCAGAAGCTTGGAATCTCAGATTATTTTTTTAAGATTTTAGAATATTTCAGATACATAATGAGATATTCTGTGGGATGGGACCCAAATCTAACCTTGAAGTTCATTCTGTTTCAGATACATATAACCTGAAGGTGATTTTATACAATATTTTTTTACTGTGCCTGGGTTTTCACTGTGTCCCTGCATGGGAGGTCCAGGTGGAAATTTCTACAGATTGGTGCTCAAAATATTTTGGATTTTGGAGCATTTCATCTTTTGGATATTTGAATTAGGGATATTCAATGTGTGTAATGTAATATGTAGGTCTCTGTAGTGATGCCTTAAAATTGCTAAATGATATCGATGGTACATCATAAAACCAATTCCTACTTGCGGGATGTGGAACCTCAGTACTCCACAAGAAAAAAATGACAAACAGGTGCAGAGGGACAGTAGCTACTGTTACAGGCAGTCCCCACTTCTCCATGGTTGAACACAGATTACAGTCATTGCCCCCTTACTCCAGAGACCCCAAAGACTCCATGCACCTGGTATCATTCCAAGCACTACATGTGCACCCTCAGATGGGGAAACTGAGTCACTTCAAGGAAGCTGAGCTGCACCAGGCAGCCTGACTACAGAACCTGCACCTGGGCCTGGCCCAGTCACCCAGCTGTCCAGCACTGGCTCAGTTCTTTTCCATTCATTAGTTGCACCTCTAGCAGTGCCGGGCCTGCCCCCGGGGTGTGCTGAGACAGCAGTTGAGACTGGGGTGGGGGGTGGCACGCGCCTGTAATCCCAGCACTTGGGAGGCTGAAAACAGAGGGGTCAATATGAGTCCCATCTGCATAGTGAGACCCTGTTGACTCTATACTAAATACATTTTTTAAACAATTATTTGCACCTCTGCTGGTGCTGGGGAAGGGACAATACATGAGACACACAGGAGTCCCACTCTCCTGAAGCAGACATGTTAGCAATTGCACATTGGACTCTCTTCATTGGCTTGGATGAAGGTTGCCTTGGTAGTTCAAGCACTCACTTAGTGAAAGTTGGTGAGGACCTGTGTGGCCTTGGCCTTAAAGTTGGCCCCTGGACTGGTTTGCACCTGCTCAACCGTCACCCAAGAAATATCTAGGCCTTAGTGGGAGGCTTGAGTGCATCATGTCCTCCCATAAATCAGCGAAGCTCCCTGAACCTCAGTTGCTTTGCCTGTAAAATGGGTGATGATATCACTCTCACAGGCCTGAGCCAAAATGAGCTATTATAGAAGGGCCCAGAGCCCACGGAGACTCAGCCTCGGGGATCCCCAGAGCTGTCAGAGCGGGAAAGTGAATGTTCGTCCTCTGTGGAAGGGTACACGTCGGGCAGGCTCCACTGAGGGCCGTGGGGCTGCCTGCCACTGCCAGTCTGGGGTCTGCCTTTTTAGGGAATCAATCTGCAGCTTTCTTGCATGCAAGAGGCTGCGCACCTCTCCAGCAGGCCGGGGCAGAGGGAGCAGCCAGGAGCCTCCATCAGCCTTCTTAGTGCAGCCCAGGCCTAGAATCAAACCGCCCAGCTCAGCTAATCCTCAGAAACTGTGACGCTGAGATGGAAAGCAAGGTTTTGAAGTCTCCGCTTTAGATCCTCTCTGCAGTGCTGCAGGTGCGTGTGTTTTGATCTGCCAGGCGGATGTCCAAACAGACAAAGCGGTCCTCTCCTCCGGGGTGAGCAAGCTTCAGAAGAGTGAGGAGTGAAGAGGGGCAGGGGTGCTGTGCCCCGCAAAGGACCACAGCTCACGCGCTCCTCTCCCATTTTGCAGGGAACTTCAAAGGCCTGTGCAAGCAAATCGATCACTTCCCAGAGGATGCAGATTATGAAGCTGACACAGCAGAATATTTCCTCCGTGAGTCGCACAATCTTTTAATCCCTCTCCAGGTGGTGGGTCCTGGGCTTTCTTCCTTCAGGGAGCCTAAAATCAGCACCCCCCGGACCAGAGGGCCTGGCCTCTGCAGAAAGGGAAAGGTGCTCCTAACTCCTTTCTTTCCTCCTCTTTGGAGGGCAAACCTTCATGCACCCTGTTTTCTCTGCCCGCAACACCCTTGCCACCTCTTCTGTGTCTGGCAAACTTCTACTCATCCTCCAGGTCTCAGCTGTAACATCACCTCCTCCAGGAAGCCCCCTGCTCCCTGGGTAGGTTAGCCATCACCCCCCCCCACACACACCCCAGGATAAGGAAACCTTTCTTCTTCTCCATTCTGTTACCAGTCCAACATGAGTATTTCTTAAACAAATTAGGGAGAAATCCTACCAGTGAGTACCAGAGATTGGAATGGGGGGGAGGGGAGGAGAAAGAGTTTTTTGTTTTGTTTTGTTTTTTCTTTCTCGAAAGTCAAATCAAAGTTAAATCCCAACATAACAGCTGTGATCTTAAATCCACCTGAGCCATATTATCAAGAGACAGCATTCTGAAGCCCCAGGGGAATTTCTCAAGCATCAGCAAAAACTAACAAGACTCCCTACTCCCCGAGAAAGGGATTTCCCAGAGAGAGGCTGAGAGTCCTTGAGGCCTGGGCCCATGGAGCTGAAGGCTCTCAGGCTGGTGCCCGCCATGGCCCAGATGCGTTTGCGCTCACTCCATCGTCGGTCGGCGCCTCCCTCCACCGCCCCTCCCCCACGCAGAGTGGTTAGCGTCACCCTCAGATTGCTTTTATGAAAAATGTAGGAGGCATTTTATTATATGGATTGCCCCTGTCTCTTTCAATAATTTACTCTTCACATCAAAGCCAGCACTCAGGTCAGCCTGGAATCTGGTTTCATTGAGAAGCCTGTGGAACATAAAGCCAGGAAGAGGGAGAAAAGAGAGAGGAAGGGAACAATTCATACATTTTTTTCTTTTCTTTTCTTTTTTTTTTTTTGAAGAGGAAACAATATCACACCATGCTTGTCCTTTCCTTTTACGAATTCCCCCAAGACACTGCTCTGAAATGGAATTTCCACAGGGACCCAGGGTTGCCACTGTTACTGTCTGGGGCTCTTCCCCAGCCTGATCTTAGTATGAACCAGCATAGTAAACATAAATTGAGTACCTACTGTATATGAAATCTTGTGCTCAGTGCTGGGGAGGCCATCATGGCCAAGCAAGATAACCCCTGGCCCGTGGAAGGGAATACCTGGCCAGCCAGTAGGGTGCCGCAGGGGTATCAGAGAAATAGCTGAACTTAGAACAGGAGGTAGAAGGGAGTGATCAAAGCTGAACCCCACTCCTGGTACCACACTTCTGGGCAACATGGCCAGCCAGGTGGAAAGCTCCTTGGAGGAAGATACTTGCCTCATTCATTGCTGCACCCACAGCACAGTAAGTGCACAATAAATGCATTTTGTTCAACAAAGAAAAACTGTAGGGCTCTCCAGAGGCAATTCCCACCAACTATATGCCTCGCATTCCTCCATTTTAAGTAGCGTTGAGCTCACAACGTTGGATTCTCCATGGTATCCCAGGACAACAGGCTTAGACACTAGGTAGTGATCAGGGGTCCCCCAAGTCTGATCTGAGTTGGTAAAACTCAGCAGTGCTGCTGGGGTATCTGTAACCAGGGTCAGCAAACTTTTGCCAGGAAGGATAAGACAGCAAGTATTTGGGGCCTTTCAAGACATACAGTCTCCATCCCAACTGTTCAGCTCTGCTCAAAAGCATCCCCAGGCTTCAGATGATGAACAGATGATGTGGTGTTGTTCCAGCCAAACTTCATTCACAAAGTTAATTCCAAGGAGCCAGGGAGATGGCTCAGTAGAATAAGTGCCTGCCTGGCAAGCACAAGGTCCTGAGTTCTATCCCTGATACCGCAAAAAAAAAAAAAAAAAAAAAGTAAAAAGTTGATTCCAATCTATAAAGTGCTAGTGGTGGGCTAAACAACAATAACTATGCAAAAGCTGGTCAGCAAGAGAAAGTGAAAGACAGACATGGTTTTTTCCAAAAGGGCTCCCCATCCCCCTCCACTACCATGCTCTTCCTTACTCCATGCCTCTGCCTCCCCTGCACACTGAATCATCTCATCTCACCCCTGTGAGCTTCACTGTGCTGTTGCCCACTCACACATGGCAGCCCCGTGTGGTCACAAGCTGCTGGAAGGCAAAACTCTGCCCCGAGTATTTCTACACCCCAAACTCTTAGCCCAGGGCCCAGCCCAGAACTCCCTCCTTCCCTCTCTCCCTCACTTCCTCTCTCCCTGTCTCTGTCTTACATCTTGCATGTCCAAGGTCATTGGCTACACCACCCAGCATAGCATGAAAGGAGAAGGGGAGTGGAGAAAGCTCCCTCCCACCCAGCGCAGCTGTGATTCTAGCCCATGAGAAGAGATCAAATCTTGGAGGGGATAATATACATAAAGAGCTAGATGTTGTGCCCACAAAATAGGAAGCCTGTCCTCCACACGCCAAGTGACAGTGACCAATGAAGGAAGCTCAGGGAGCAGGTGGAATGACAGCTCACCCTTGCAGGAGAGGCCTGGGGCCCAGGACCCCCACAGGTGGACAGTGCCACAGAGATGCCCTAGTCCAGCTGCATCACATGCATATCTGAGGCCAGAGAGGAGAGAGTATATACCCAGAACCCCTGGCAACCCAGGCACAAAGCGAGGTGCAGGCCCGGGGCTCCCAAACCCCTGCCTTGCTATACAATCACCACCACACCTCCTCAGCCAGCCCGGACAATGAGAGACAGCACCACCTCTGGGAAGAGATTTCATGGCGTGACAGGCTGGGACTTCCAAGGTGCAAGATCTCAACACTGCTGGCTGAGGAAATTTGGCCCAAAAAAAATAAATAATAATAATTTGCAAAGAATAGATACTTAGGTCAGCACCCAGAAGGGGAGAGGTTGGCTTATTCCTGGGCACGTAGGCTACTTCGTTCCAGTCACCAGCTCAGAAAAGCATCCGTGCTTCCCTGCCCATGGGCGTGCTGTACTCTCAGCAGCTTCCACTGTCTTCCTGTTTCCTTATGGTAAACATCCAAGGCAGACCATGTTAGAATTTTCATGCCATCTTACAGAGAATGAAGTGAAGCTTCCGGGAGGAAAAGTGACTGGAGTCGATACTCCAGTCTTCTCGAGCCAGTGCCCCAACACTGAGGCTGCCCGTGCGAGGAGCCTGAGCCTGCTCCCCGCCGCCAGGCGAGCTCTGTGCTCACCCCTGCATCTGTGATACCCACACCTGGCACCTCAGCCCAGCTCCTGCCGGACATCCAGCTGCCCCCTCCACAGGGCACCTCAAATGCTACCCTAAACCTCGAGGCCCCCTTTTCTCCCCTTGCTCCTAGGTGTGGTTCTTTCCAAGCCCCCAAGTAGTTTTTCCAGCCAGCGTTCAGGAATGAATCCAAGAGGTCTTCTCAATGCCACCTCTTCTGCCCCCAGATCCATCCAGCAAGTCTTAAGTCACCCTCTAACCACCTCTCACACCTCTTGGGCCAGGTGCCCTGACCCCTCACCTAGCAGAGGAGAGAAGCCTTCTCCCTGGGTCCACTCGTGGCTCAGTCCACCCTGCCTCTGGCTTCTTAAGATGCAGATCACCTCAGGACAGGCATGCCTGCTCTGACCCTCTGATGTGTATGGCTGCTTTTAAGCTAGAGCAAAACCCACTGGCACGTCCCACTGGAGCTGGGGGACCTATAAGTCCCTGCATGGCCTGGCTGGGTGGCCTCCATTCTCATGGTCCCCAAGACCCTCAGTGAAGCAGTCCCTGCAGGAGCTACACTGCTTTCTCTGTGTGGTCTGCCTCTCGAAGGCATCCTCTCTACCCAACCTCACCCCTGCAGGGGACCCTCCTGACCCCATATGGGCTCAGAGGAAGCACAGGAGGGTAGGGACATCCCAAATGCAGGGGAGCCCCATGCTCAGATATGCAGGCCTGGGTTCACTGACCTCGGACAAATGGCTTAACCTCTCCAGGGCTTGGCTTCAGATTCTTCATAACGACACAATTAAAATACTCCATGGGGTTGTGATGAGAATAAGCAGTGAACACAGACGCCATGCTTAAAATAACCCCTGGAGCACGTCACTCCCACCTTCACATGCCCTGTGGGTCCCTTTCTGTTGCCACACCACGTTGTGGTTCTGTCCTGATGACGTCTACCTGCCTTATCTTAGTCACTTTCCTCTCTCTGCACACAATGCCCCGATACCCACAACTTAAAGGAAGAGCAGTATATTTCCCTTCACGGTTTCAGTCCATGGTCTGCTGGCTCCGAGGTAGAAATGGCAGGGTAGAGAGGCCTAGCAGATGACAGGGTGCTCCACTATGCCAGCCAGACACAGAGGTGGAACTGAGGTACAGGGACCAGAGACACCTCCTCCTGGGTCACAGCTCCGGGGACCCTCTCCAGCCAGGCCCCACCTCCTCACAGTGCGTTCCTATGAACTCACAGAGGGATAACGTACACTTCAAAACACCTGAGGCTTTGGGGAGACCTTTCAGGTCTAACACATAACATCCCTCGCCGGAGCATAAGCTCTGCAAGGACAGGGATCAGGCCTGGTTTTGCAGCCCTGATGTCTCCTGTGCCCCACGCAGCACCCGGCAGCTGCAGGCTCTCTGTCTATATTTGTTGTGGGCTCACCTCTGGTCACGTACAATCTCCCTGCTCCACACCACGAGGCCTTTCCCCAACATAGCACACTTGAGTGATAGAGATGACCAACTATACAGCTGGCCAAATTGAGCCCACCAACTGATTCTACCAATAACGTTTTATCGGGGCACCACCTTACTCGCTGGCTTACATATCAGGTATGACTGTTTTCAGGCAACAACAAAGGGAGGAAATTGCTGCAGACTGTGTGGCTGGTAAGGCCACCAACAGCTCCTCAGGGTCCCTGGCAAAAAGTTTGTTGCCTCCTGCTATAGGGATTTGCTGACTCTGCAAAGCCATGGTCATGCCTTCATTTGGTTACTGTGAGCTTCCAAAACGTAAATCCTGTGGGGCCCTTAGAACCAGGCACAGGGCAGGGGCTCTCTGAAGTTCAGCAGGAATTGTGGGTCCCATGTGCTTTTTCTAGGAGAACCATGAGCATTTGTTCATTGCTCAGAATGAATGCTTTCTGCTCCTAGGAGTAGATTTTTGGTACTAAGACCACTCCAACCCCGATGGAAACTCAGGGCAATTTGTAGGGGAAGTTGTATTTCAATGCAAAGGGGAAGATACCCAGAATGGCTGCCACCTTGTGCCTGGCACCCCGTGCGGTGCAGCTGTGTCTCAAAGTAATCCATCCAGCATGCTTCTTAGACTTTCACAAGCACACAAATCTTGTTACAGCCCACTTATTGAAATGTGGGTTCTAATTCTGTAGATATAGGGGGCTTCTGCAGGTGCATTTCTCATCAGCCTTCAGGGCTGCTGCTCTGGGGACCACACTGGGGCAGTAAGGCCTTCTGACAGTGCAGAGAGCTGGAATTAGTATTACTGCTCCATTCTACAGAGTGGGACACTGAGGCTTCGGCAGGTCATGAGCCTTGGCCAAGGGTACACAGTGAGAGACAAAGCCCAAGTTCTAGCTCCGATGAGACCAACTCCTGAGTGCCCTTTCAGTCTGGGCCACAGTGCAGCCAGAAAGCGCCTCCCTCATTCCTCCCTCCACACCAGAGATGCCCACTTACTCTTAACTAGTTTCCTTCCTGGCCTGGAGGGGGGCTCACACAGTCCAGCCCCTGGTCACAGAACTATGCCCGGCTGCCCCCACCATGCTCTGTCTGGCTCACTCAAGAGAGACTGGACCAGGAGTGGACCTCACGCACACCTGTCACACCAGCACTCTGGGAGGCTGAGACGGGAGAACAGCACATCTGAGCCTGGCCTGGGCAACTTACTGACTTAGGGAGACTGTGTCTCAAAATGAAAAAGGGTTGTGGTGTAGCTCAGTGTGAAGCCTTAGCTTCAGTCCCCAAAATCATAAGGGGGGATCACCAGCTATGCTGACCATAGAGGCTTGTGCTCATTTCCCCCCCACACACTATGCAGAGGATATGAGAAGCTGTTTCCTGACTTCAGAAGCAGTGCCATCCCCTCCACGCTGTCACAGCTATGCTACCGGCTATACCACTGTACTGTCCTCTGCCACCTGCCATATCATCCACACACATCTCACTGCATGTGTGCGCCCACATGCGCACATTCCCCCCCCCATGCACACACAGCACCCCAGTCCCCAGCTGGATCTCTAGCTGGGTGGCCTTGGAGATGTCTCTTTACCTCTCTGAACCTCCGTTATCTTGTTTCTAAATCAGGGCAAAAAAAAAAAAACAAAAAAACCCACATCCTGAGAGCTTTTTGATGATGAAATGATTTAAAAGTACCTGAGGAGGAAACTCAGTACACAGAGGGTGGGTGCTCACTGCGCCTCTTCTCCATCCTCCTAGGTCTTCACTAAGACCTCACCACTCCCACACACTTGTAATTTTTTTTTCAAAATTTTATTGATAAACAGATAGCAATGAGACAGTTTCAAATCAAATTGGAAGTACAGTTTCAACAAATAACACACTGCATATATTCTTCTTAGTGGTTAATTGCTGTACAAGATGCGGAATTGTGATCCTATTTACAAACACCATTAGAACAAATCATTCTATTCATTAAGAGAATGCAACTATATATCTATCCTAACCACTTTGAATACACAGATACAAAATGGACATTCATCTGTATACCCCATTTTTCCTAAGTTCCATTATTGAATATTATAGGTGTGTAAACTCAGCAAAATATTCCAAAAGAGTCCAGTAGCCCATAATAGCATTGGGTCTTCTGTTTAACTGGCAATGTCAGAAATTATTGACCTGAGTCCCCCACAGCTCAACATAACAACATGATTTTACTTCCTATATTTCGTCTTCATACTTTTCTACTGGATGGTTAAGACCAAGGTAAAGCAGGACCTGTGCAACAAGAGTTGTAGCTTTTTGGTCTGAGCACACACTTGTAAATTTGAGCACTAAGGCGACTGTTCGTGGTGCCCGTGTGTGTGCCCAGCTTGCCTACAGCCTGTACACGTGTGCCATGTACTGGGCTGGGTCTCAGGTCCAGACGGAGCACACTGTCTTAAATAACCTGCAGGGAGTGAGCATCCCCGTTGGGTCTCAGGAGGGGGCTTCCCTGTCTCTGTGGGGCTCAAACAGCAGCGTGAACCCCCCACCTACCTGCACCTTTAGCCTCGCTCCGACTTCAGTATCTGCAGCCAGCTTTAGCCACATGCAATCCATGGGCTGCATGCAAAGCCCCTCCATTTTCCTACCCAAACTTCATCCACTCACTAAACAGCAGGAGCAGTTAGGGGTAGTGGCATGTGCCTGCAATCTCAGCACTTGAGAGATTGAGGCAGGAGGACCTCCGTAAGTTCAAATCCAACCTGGGCTACATAGCAAGACCCAGTCTTAAAAAAAAAAAAAAAAAAAAAAAAAAAAAGGAGCGTAGACTCTACTATACACAGGGGGTGTTGACAGAAAGCTCTCAGGTCACTTCTGTCACAGAAAGCTACCTAAATTCTTCTTAGAAAAGTCTAAATAGAAAAGGGACTTCTTACTGATCCTTTTGGGCCTTTCTGCTGCCCAAAGAGGGTTGGGACACATGGGATAGAAGGAGCCGCCACTCCTAGTGCGTTGGCCCCTAAAATGCCTCCCAGCAAATCCCTGGGCTTGGCCAAAGGGCCCATGGTTAGCAGGACTCCGCTTCCTTAGAAATCATGCAAATTGCCAAAACTGTCCCTGCCTGGCCATGGCTGCCTGGGAGGGCCAGAGAAGCAACAGGGGTCCCAGCACTGCCCCTATACTGCCTGTGTGGGTTTGGGCAGAATAGACCTCTCTACCTTGCAGAGAAACGTTAGGGTGTTGGTTTTTTATGTACTTCATACAGGGTCTCACTATGCGGCTTGGACTCCTGTTGTCAGTCTCCCCAGTGCCGGGATTACAGGCATGTACCACCATGCCCAATCTCAGTGGCTGGCTCAGCATGCCAAGGACGGGGCCAACGCAAGGATCAAAGTGACACTTTGTGAAGGTCCCCAGCTCTGGTCCTCATTCTCACAAATGCATCCCATCCACCCACCCGCTGTCTCCCCCCCTGGCTTCCCTTTCCCCTCTTCCCACAGTGCAGCTGGACACTCCAGCCATCCTCTCTTTTCCTTCAAATTTTCTTTTCCTAGCCAGGGATGGTGTTGAGAGCGAGCCTGTGAGTCGAAGACCGTGGGAAGCTGAGGCAGGAGGGATCACAAGTCAGAGCCCAGCCTGAGTAACTCAGCAATTTAGCAGGTCACTGTGTCAAAGTATAAATAAATACATAAATACATAAATACATAAATACATAAATAAGCAAGCAACTGGAGGGGAGAGGGGGAATTGTTCAGAGCAATCCCCTGTACCACAAAACAACCTTCTGCCTCCTGGGGATGTGACTCAGTAATAGAGCACTTGTCCTGCATGCACAAGGCCCTGGAGTCCATCCTCTGCACCATAAAATGAAAGAAAATTAAACTAAGTGTGGCAGGTAGTGCATGCCTGTAACCTGACACTCAGGAGACTGAGGCAGGAGGGCGACTTCAAGTGCAGAGCCAGCCTGGGTCACGTAGACAGCTCAAGGCCAGCCCTAACTACATAGCAAGATCTTGTCTCGACAACATACAAATAAATAAATAAAATAATTTTTGCCCTCCTATCCCAATTTTCAGTCCCTCTTTCTTATTCTAAAGTGCATATAGTTTTCTTTGTGGGGGGAGGATGACTTTTTGCTTTCTCTTTGCAGCGTGCCCTTTTCCCACCTTATCTGGACCACTTCACGATCAGCTGGCATTGACAGTTTACTGTGTGCTTGGGTTAAATAAAAATATGAAAGGAAAAAGCCACCAAGCTTACCTCATGGAACCTGGGGTTTATAGTAGAAATATACAGAAAAACAAGTATTATGATAATAATCATCATTTATTGCCCCAGGCACTTTTAAAGAAATACATTATCTGCATTGATTCATTTAATCCTCACAACAATCTTAGGAGGCCAGAGCTATAATCATCTCTGCTTTACAGAAGAGGAAGGGCTGGGGATATAGCTCAGTGGCACAGGTGCCTGCCTGGTGAGCACAAGGTCCTGAGTTCAATTCCAAGTACTGACGGGGGGAAAAAAGGTTGCAGAAGCAGAAAGTGAGGCACAGAGATGTAAAAACATGTTTCCAAATTTAAATGACAAATGCTAGGACGAGAGTCAAGTCCAAGCCAGGTGTCCCTACCTGACCACTACCCTTACTTATCTGTGCCCCCAAACCATGAAGAAAGAGCTAATAACTGCATAAGGAAGCTAGGGAAGGTTTCACAGGGGAGAGGAATCGGAGCTGGGTTTTGATGGTTGTGTAGAAGTTTGCTTAGGAAAGACCTTCCAGTAAGAGAGTTTAGTATGGTAACAGGATGAAATGACACAGCTTGAGAATTTTGTCAAGCTGCCCAAGAAGGAATATGGGGACCAAGTGGCATGAGACTGAAGGAGACTGAGGCCAAGGTGCACAGAGCCCTGAATGCCTGGTAAGGTGCTAGAATCTGGTCTTGGAGGTCGTGGGGAGCCCTGAAGGGCTGCAAGGGCAGCACCTTGCCCTCCGTCCCTCCCCCCTGGCGTTGCTAGGCAGCCTGGAGCCCAGCCTTGTCCAGGCAGGGGCCCCATCTCACTGCCACGCCCCTCTCTCCTGCCCCGCCCTGTTCCACAGGGGCCGTGAGGGCCTCCAGCATCTTCCCGATCCTGAGCGTGATTCTGCTATTCATGGGCGGCCTCTGTATCGCGGCCAGCGAGTTCTACAAGACTCGTCACAACATCATCCTGAGCGCTGGCATCTTCTTTGTGTCTGCAGGTAAAGCCAGAGCGCGCCGGGCCTGACGGGCTGGGGTGTAGGCCACAGTGTAGGGAGGGAGCCCATAGGTGAAGAGAGGCTTCCCCAGGCTGGGGTCTCCTCGAGGCCTCACCTCCCCGGAACAAGTAAAAGGATGAGGACCCCAAGACAACGGGATCAGAGGCCCCACGCTGCGTCCCACCCTTGCACAGTGTCAGCTCCATGCCGGAACCACAGGCACAATCCGCTCGTGTCCCAGCTGGTTGGGTGCAGGCATCCCCTCTGTAGGTGTCTGAGCCCTTACCCCGCACATCCCACTTGTCTCAGATGCCACAGCAGGTGCAGGATTTACAAGCAATCAAGTAGCACTGACTGGCATCGTATGGGCACCTGCCACTCCCAGGCGCCAAAAGCAGGCCTTACTACCTGCTCATTTAACCCTCTCCACAAAGCCATCATCCCCTCGCCCAGCTCACAGGGGGAAACCCCAAAGGAGGTTAACCGATGAGTCCTTTGAATCTCAGCTGTCTGCTCTGGTAGTCAGCCTTAACCTCTGCTCTACGGGCTTCAAATCTCTGGGCTCCTTGAGCAACTTTCTTACCCTCTCTGTGCATTAGGAAGCACTTGGCAGGAAAGGCGGACAGTAAGTGTTCCATAAACAAGATCTGCCACTGTGTAGTTGCTAGTACTCGCTGGGTTCTAGAAGGCATCCCTCTCTCCTCGCCTCTTCCTACACCCGGCTCCACAGCTGTCTCTGTGTGGCATGATGAAATATTAAGACAGAGCTTTCCAGGGGCCCTCTATCCCGTTGCCTCTGTCCACCCAGTCCATCCAGCTGTCCCCACCCTGGCATGCTGCCTCCTGGCACCATCTCCGGGAGAACCAACCCCTCCTCTCTGCTCTTGCCACTGCAGGTCTGAGTAACATCATTGGCATCATCGTGTACATATCTGCCAATGCCGGAGACCCCTCTAAGAGTGACTCCAAAAAGAATAGTTACTCCTACGGCTGGTCCTTCTACTTCGGAGCCCTGTCCTTCATCATTGCCGAGATGGTCGGGGTGCTGGCCGTGCACATGTTTATCGACCGGCACAAACAGCTGCGGGCCACGGCCCGCGCCACGGACTACCTCCAGGCCTCGGCCATCACCCGCATCCCCAGCTACCGCTACCGCTACCAGCGCCGCAGCCGCTCCAGCTCGCGCTCCACCGAGCCCTCTCACTCCAGGGACGCCTCGCCCGTGGGCATCAAGGGCTTCAACACCCTGCCGTCCACTGAGATCTCCATGTACACGCTCAGCAGGGACCCCCTGAAGGCTGCCACCACGCCCACCGCCACCTACAACTCCGACAGGGACAACAGCTTCCTCCAGGTCCACAACTGTATCCAGAAGGAGAATAAGGACTCTCTCCACTCCAACACAGCCAACCGCCGGACCACGCCTGTATGAAGACTACCCAGTGGCTGCTGGCCTGGTGGCCTGGGCCAGTGGGCAGGACCCCGGGCATGGGAGGAGGCGCGGCCCAGGGGCAGGGACAGGGCCGCCCACGGGGAGACCTTCCCAAAGCAAAAAACACACACACAAAAACACAAAAAACAAAAAAAGAGAAAAACATAACAAGTAAATTTAAAAAATATATATATAAGAGGAACAAAGTTGTAAAACAACAGGCAATGTGGAAAAATATAAACGAAGGAAGACAAACTTTAAAGCAAAGCAAAAGGGATTTAAAAAATTAACAATAGAAAATAAATCTAAAAGAAAATGCATGACTTCCCATGTACCATTATTTTAACATTTAATAAAAACCAATTTAAATGAAAACCATAAAAGGGAACCAAGATAATATTAAAACCAAAAAAAAAAAAAAGAAAAAAAGAAAAAAAAAAAGAAAAAGAATGAAAAGGAAGAGGGATGTCCTTTGTTTTTATTAGGGTTTTATGTTACTTTTTGTTTGTTTGTTTGTTTAGCTGTAGGGAAAGTTTAGAAACTAACAATATTAATGGATTCTGTTCCCTTTAACCCCGGCGGGCCCCACCTCCCTGGGGGAGAGGGGGAGAGACAGGAGCCCCAGGTCCCTTGGGGCCTGTGGTCACTGCCAGGCCCCTGGACACCTGGGAGGGGGCCCCGGGAGCCGGCTCCCCCCAGTACTGATGGGGCAACTGTAGGCCTCCGGGGACCTCAGTCCTTGGTCCCTCCTGTCCTTTAGGTGCCTGGAGGGGGTGCCCTTGGGGCCCCCGGCCCCTGGTTCCCAGTCCTTAATGGTCCTAACCCACTGTGATGACTTCCTAGGCCTTGAGGAAAGGGAAGGGGAAGGGATGGCTGCCAAGGGCTTACAGAGATGCCGGACACCCCGGAATCCTCAGGGTGAGCCTTTCGGGGTCACCATCCCCAAGCTCCTGTCCTTAGGGTCAGGAGACACCCACCCCTCCCTGGGAGGGGGAATATAAAGTCGTGCCCCCTCCTCACCCCCCACCTCAGGGCCACCTGATGACCCTGGGGTGATGGTGGATTCCCAGACGCAGGCCCCAGTCCCCTGGGACAGGGGCTCTCTGACCCTTTGGGGGTCCTTGGACTCACTGACGCCCCCTTGGGGCCCAGGGTCCAATGATGACATTGCAAAAAGGTTTCTTTTTACAAAAGAAAAAGGAAAAACAAGTGGTGATTTTTTTTTAATAAAAAAACCACAGACTATAAATAAATGTAAATATATAATAAGTGGATTTACTTGCAAGAAAATCAGATAGTATTTTTCTTTTAATTCTTTTCCAGCTTTAAACTGTGAAAAACAAAATAATAGGGTGGGGTGGGGGATTTAAAATTTAGCAGGGAACTTGTAAAGACAAAACAGAAAACAAATATACAGATCCATTTAAAACAAAACAAAACAGATGGAGAGGTTCGAGCTGGGCTTAAAGCCAGAGGAGTAAGGCCCCAGCCAGCTGCAGGGAGCCTGCTGGGAAGATCCTTTCCTTCTACTCAGAAGGTGCTGCTAGCGTGGGGGAGAGAAGGAGCCGCGTGCCCACCCAACCACAGCCACACGCCATCACCCAGCCCAACGCTGTGACCGCTCCCAGGGCCAGCCTCAGCCTCCACCTCCCACCCCACACCCCCTGCCAGGTGCCCTGCTCAGAGGAACTGACTCCCACCCTCCAAAGCCACAGGTCACAGCACCACAAGGCCACACTGGCCATTGTGGCCCCATTTTTCCCCCAGGGCCCCACTACACACATGCACACACAGCCTGAGCACGTGTAAGGCGAGGGCGCTGGCCCTGAGTCCAGGCCGGGACTCTGCACTCCCCACTATGTGACCTCGCTGGGCCTCCATGTTCCCCCATGTATGCATGCAGACCAACCCACATGCATTCTGAAGGCCCAGTTTTGTTCTGTGTCTGTGACTTCTAAGAGGTGTCACCTGCACAGAGCAACACACCAGGAATGACCAAGTCAGCTGCCACTGAGCTCCAGTGACATTGAAAACATTCCCAAAGCACCCATCGGCCCCCCACCTCCCTCTCTCTGTCTTCTGTCTGCCTGTCTCTCTATCTCTCTGTCTCTCTGCCTACCTCTCTCTCTCTCCCTCCTCCCCCCTTCTCTCTGTCTCTCACACACACATACACACACACACCTCCCATATGGCTCCTCACTGTGCTCCCAAGCCCTGCCCCCACACCCAGCATCAAAGCAAAAATACACTCTTGTGAGCTAATGTATCCTGCCATTCAGACAAGAGGACAAAGACACAGAGGTCCCCAAAGCCACTCTTCATTTTGTGTCCCCCTTCTTTAATGCCATGACCTCATCGTAGAATGAAGGAAGCTTCCTTAAGAGAGGAGGTAGGTCTCCATGACCCTCATAGCCTTGGAGGAGTCAAGGAAAAAGGTCCCCCAAGGTTTCCAAGGCAGACTTGTGCCTGCCTGCCTCTCTCTCTCTCTCTCTCTCTCTGAATTTTAGCTGTGCAGTATGTCCCGGAGAAGCGCCTGCTCCCCAAAGTTAAACTACAGCAAGGAGCCCCTCCTGGGTTTCTCCCCTTTCTTCTTCAGAGTGACCAGGGCCAGTTCAAACTGAACAAAATTCCAAACCAGAAATTTCCCACCAGCCTGCGTGTGACCCAGTCCCAGTTGGCCAGGCCCATGTCACCTACAGCCACCTATCTCCCTGAGTTTGCCACCGTCCACCCTGGCTTACTGTGAGCTTTCTCAAGTTGAGCTTTCTGGGACTTCAAGGGGTGACTGGCAAGGCTGCTACAGCACATATATTCTGTCTTTTGTCTGGAAGAGTAAAGTTGTCTCCCCAGGCCAACAGCAGCCGGAGCCCCATAGCTCAGGCCCAGAGGTACAGGGGCAGCCACAGGGCCCAGGGCCCAGATGTAGAGCTGGTCAAGCTGTGGTGACCACTGAGTAACTCTCGGACTGGGCAGAAATGACCAGCTACCCCATTCGCACACACCTAGTACCACCTCCAGATTACAAACCAGGTAGAGGCCTAGCAAGAAGGAAGAAGCCCAAGAAGTAGGGAAAGCCGGCCTGTTCTCAGAGCTCTGACACTGGGGCCTGGCTGGGAGGCCTGGGACCTGAGTGCACTTGAAGAAGACCATGGGAGCATGGGTGACCAGCATGGCGGGGAAAGGGCTAAGGGGCCGGGAGGGAAGGAGCCAGGACAGTGCCTACTAGGCCGCTGCCCCTCAGTGTGGACGATGGTTTATGTCTAGCTCCAACCAGTTCAAGAAATCAACCTCCATTTTATTTTCTTGGTGGGTCCTTTATTTTTTTTTCAGACTGTTACAGAAAAAATTTTAAAAAGCAGAAAACAAAACAAAAATACAAAACAAAACAAAAAAAAAAATCCTGGTACATGAAATAAAGATTTTTTTTATAGCTTGGTCTTCATGCTGGTGAATTTCTTTATGTCCTTTTCCAACTCCGTGCATCCTGTTTTAAGTAATCCTAAAACCACAGATTCTCAGAGTTGGGAGACAGGAAGCCTAGATGTAATTCATTAGGGTGACCCCGCACCTCAAATCACAGGCCCTTTTAGAAGGGCCTTCTGGGTACTTGCATGCCCCCAGGAATGGGGGGCTCACCCCTTTCCGAGGAAGCACTAGCCAGGGCTAGGCAACAGTCAGTAGAAAGTCTACTCAAACTCACCCCTTCACAGTCCAGCAACCTTGTGCAAGTCCCTCCCCTTGCCAGCGAGTGGTCCCTCCCATCTTCAAAACCAGAGAATGTGGTGTCTTTGCATTTTCTCTTTCAGAACAAACCAGCCCCACTCAACATCCCAACCACAACTTGGGTCTCTATTCTCCCCAGGAAAAATGTGCAGGCTAGAAGGATAAGACCCTGGGGCTCCCTGCAGAGGGCTCCACTCCACTGGGGACGGATGGGGAGGGTCTTGTATGGGCCACCAGGGCTCTCTCAACCTAAGCCAATGAGAGAGGCAAAGATGGAAATGACTGCAGCACGTGCCTCTGATGCTGGAGGAAGAACCCATGAAGGCTGCTGAAGAACCAAACCATGACCAGGAGACTCAGGCAGGAGGGTCACAAATCCGAGCCCAGCGTGGGCAATTTAAGAAAACCTTGCCTTCTAAAAAGGGTTGGTAGGGGCCGGGGAGATGGCTCAGTAGGATAAGTGCTTGGCTGGCAAACGCAAGGATCTGAGTTCAATCCCCGGTTCCGCCAAAAATAAATAAATAAATAAATAAATAAATAGGGTTGGTAGCTCAGAAGGAAGGAAGGAAGGAAGGAGAAAAAAAAAAAGAGCAAAGCCATCAATTTCTAGCCCTGGCCAGTCCAACTGCCAGGGTAAATTATTTGAAGTAGGCTAGAAACACTTCCAAAAACACATTGAATGCATCTAACTTAGTTGACTTCACCTTTAAAAAAAATCTGTCTTCGGGCTGGTGAGATGGCTCAGTGGTCTGGAGCACCTACTTAGAACAAGCTTAGTCAAAGCACAGGGACCGCAGTTCGATCCCCCAGCACCACATGCCAGCCAGCCCCGCCCCCTGGTGGGCTGAGCTGGACACACACACACACACACACACACACACACACACACACACACAAATAAATAAATAAAAATTAAAAAAAAAAATCTGTCTTCACATACAGTGGCACACAGGTGCAACCCAACTCAATACTCAGGAAGCTGAGACAGGAGGATTGCTGCAAGTTCATGGTCAGTATGGGCTACATAGTGAGTTCGAGGTCAGCATGAACTACGTGGTGAAACCCTGTCTCAGACAAAACAGAAAACTAAGAAACTGCATGCCAAAAAAGATGGAGGAAAACAGGTACTTTGAAATCAAATAGAGACAAGGGACAAACCAAAATATACCATTTGGGTAGCAAATCACAAAATGCTTCTTCCTCCCTCCTCTAACAAATCCCTTCATCACCTCCCCACCAGCTCTCTGAAAGGACTGTCCTTGACCCAGAAGGTCAGAGAGGATGCCCAGCAGATGCCACCCAAACAAAAGGGGAAAAGAGAGAGCTGAGGGGCTCTGAGAAGAGCTGCCCCCCACCCTCCTGACCTCTACTGTCGCCTACAAAAAGGCAAGAA